TTCTACCATACCGGGGTAGATTTCACCGGGTTCGTGGATGTTAAAGCAAATAAGGGTCGAGGTATTAAGGCAACAAAGGGCTACGTGTCAGTTTTCGTGTGCATGGCGACAAAAGCTGTGCACCTAGAACTTGTCTCGGATTTGACAACATCGTCATTTTTGGCAGCCCTCCGTCGTTTTGCATCACGCAGAGGCACACCCCGTCACATGTATAGTGATAACGGGACGAATTTCGTCGGAGCAAACAAGGTGCTGAAATCCGAATTTGCCAACTTAAAATTAATAATTACTGACGAGTTCCTTTCCGAAATTAGTGAAATGAAAATAGACTGGCATTTTAACGCTCCATCTTGGCCGAGCGCAGGAGGCCTATGGGAAGCCGCTGTTAAAAGCCTGAAATACCATTTACGCAGAGTAGTGGGCGAGCAAAAACTGACGTTTGAAGAGTATACCACTCTATTATCACAACTCGAGGCTTGTCTCAATACTCGCCCCCTCTGTGCAATTAGTGAAGATCCAAACGACATCAATTATTTAACACCATCCCATTTCTTAGCAAGTGGGCCCATCCTCACCATATATGAAACTGAAAACGATGACAGAACTCGTTGGAGATTGACACAAAAGATTTTTCATGATATATGGGCGAGATGGCGTTTTGAATACTTATCTCAACTTTCAGCAAGATCGAAATGGCAACAAAAACAAGAAAATATCAAGCCAAATGACATTGTCCTGATACATGACGCTAATTTACCCCCAGGTAAATGGGCGCTCGGACGAGTAGTCGACGCTCACCCAGGAAAGGATGGACACGTTCGCGTCATCAGCGTCAAAACAAAAAACGGTGTCCTGAAAAGACCGGTAATCAAGGTGTCACTCTTGCCCGTAAGCAACAATGATAAGGCCAGCGTTGATCGCAGTCAAGGGTCGATACACGAAAATGCTGCTGCTGGGACAAAACGCACACTCAACTCATTCAGTAAAAATAACTTTGTGACGTCATGCATAAATTTTATGACAATATTACTACTTTTATTTATGTTATGTGGATCAACAACAGCACAACATTCATACGATATTAGACCATTACAAAATAATAACAGTATCTATTTGGACAAATTATCTGACATACGCATTATACAGGACAAATGGAAACTGGTGGTTTATTATAATATGGATCCTTATTGGAATGGAGCAAAATTATTAAACACATACTATCAGCATTTAGAATCATTATGCCAAAACATTGAAAGGAAATCCCACTGTGACACAATAAAGTTACAGCTACGTCACAGTTTCTCGGAACTACAGTTCTACAATATCATGTTACAAAATAAACATCCAACGCGCACGCGACGCGGTCTCATCAATGGCGTAGGTAACATTGCTAATAGCCTTTTTGGAGTGTTAGATGACAAATTCGCATCAAAATACGAAAACGACATAAGAAATATTAGAAACAATGAAAAATATTTAGTGAATCTATGGAAAAACCAAACTTCTGTCATCGAAGCGGAAAATAATTTATTGCAACGCATCGAAAATACGATGGAAGATCAACACAAAATTTTTAAAAATCACCTCAATATTCTAGAACAAGCAACAGGAAGCTTGCAAAAGGAGATAGAAAATATTGATATAACGGATGAATTTATCTTGACAAGCATTATCGCAAACAACATCATCAGTAATCTCAAACATATACAAGATACGCTATTGGATACAATTACCAATACTCACCATTTTAATTTTCACATTTTATCTCCAGAACAACTTCGAAGAGAATTAAGTATTATTTCCGGGCAACTGTCAAAGGACTCAGCACTGCCCATTGATAACATCCTGATTGACCTACCAAAGGTGTATGAGATTCTCAAAGTAAAAGCTCGCATGACAATACAATACTTTATTTTCGAGATTGAAATTCCGTTGGTAAACAGAGACAGTTACGAATTATATAAGCTTTATTCCGTTCCTCAGCAAAAGGAAAACTCAGTCATTAATATCTCACCGATAGCAGATTATTTGGCCATTAATTTACAAAAAGATACCTATTTACCAATATCGGAAACAGAGTTATCCAAATGCATCCAGTTTGACAAAATAACTTATTTGTGTGAATTGCAAAAACCAGTATATCATAGAGATTCAGACGAAAACTTTTGTATTAGAGACCAACAAAACAAGGCATGTATGACATTTATTAATATGTGCCGTGATACATGGACGGAGCTTATCAATGTAAACAAATTCTTAGTCACCTGTTGCGACAAATGCAACTTGAGATTCATATGTGGGAGTCGAGTTACTAACGAACGATTAAAAGGCTCGAATATAATTGCGCTCGGACATAATTGCATAATCAAGAGCGATACCTTCACTATTATCGCACATAAACAACACATGAACGAGCTAAATATAGAACCGGACATAGTTTTAGCCGAAATAGCACCTGTCAACAAAATCATTAACCTGACTATACCTGTGACTACGATAAACGAAAGCGATTACAAAGAAACTCTCAAAGTCATCGGCGAACAGGTCACACAGCTGAAATCTAGTGGAGATAGGCTAGAAGAAATGGACTACTTATCATCACATGACGTCCATCAGTACGCCGCTATTTATACAGTAGCGGTAGTGGCAGTAGCATGTGCCGTATTCGTGTGGTGGCGTATGCGCCGCCCCCCTTCAACCAGGATCAACGAGGCCCCAGGGCAGGCCGCGTTCACAACGCGAGAGCCGCCTGGGCCACCCGCAGCGGACGCTGGGCTTGCGCCCGGACCTTCGACAGCGAACACCGTCTTCGCGCGTCCCGCGTGCCCGACGACAGCGCCCCGAATAAAGGGGCCGTGTGAGGTCGACAATTGTGGTCAGTGCAAAGTGCAAGTGAGTGCTAGTGAAGTGCAGTGTCACAAAAGTATCAGCGAGAGTGGTAGTGCACAGGACACCAAACGTAACTCAAACGGCACTTCGCCTATTTTTAGTAAAATAAGATTTATACAGGAATGATTGTCGGTTTCAGTTTGTTTCACTCCTACTAACACTCAAATTGTTCAATCATCTTGTCTCCACTTCATTACACTAAAACCGACACTTTCATCTCATCTCGCGCCCCGGAACATGTACGGTTCAATAAACCGCACAATATAATTTATTTTACATTTTATATTTTGCAGCATTGCATTTTTACTTTGGTGTGTCGAATCTAGAACGCGACGCATCAGTCTACGTTTCAACCGCGACTCATAAACTCCATACACTATTTCATTAGTCAAATAAGTTTCGTGTGCCAATAAACGGTATCTCTGTAAAATCCATTTTCTTTTCTTGTACGTACACACATCCCGTACAGCATTCGTTGCATTTGCATGTTTCTAAATTGATATGGTATTATTAGCCTCATATAGCTGTTTTTCAAGCTTCCTCATATTGAATCCTACACTGATCAAACCCAGCTAAGATGTTTTGGAGTCTGTCCCGATCAACAACAGCATCACTACATAGTTTGTGAAGCTCTGCCATGTCACTCTTTAATTTAAGATTTCTATCCAAAATTTCTATCAGTTCCCTTATTCATCATTATCATCGCGTTCCCTGTTCAGTTGATCACATAATTCCTTAGATGCCTTGAGTTCCCTCAAAGTCCAAAAGCACAGGCCTGAACCTATGGATGGGATAGGGAGAATGGGCCATGACCCACCACTCGGGCCCGATGCGGATTGGTGGGTGCTAACGACTGCAGTTGCAACCGGGACCAACGGCTTAACGTGCTTTCCGAAGCACAGAGAAGCACGAGATAGTATATTTTTGCGAAAGTTACTTAACGTCAACGATTGCAGCCGAAACGCGCTAACCACTTGCGCCATTGAGCTGCTCTTATACGATAAACTATTGTTGATTATTAAATTTATGTAAATTTGACTAGAAAGAAATCCAATTGATCCAGTCCCCGTAGCATGAGCACCACAATTAACATTATATCACGTTATATTGTTTTAAAATTTCATGGTCACTAACATCATAGCTATTAACGGGATTGTTACCATGTACCTTGTTCTTTATGAGTCTCCGATATTACGGTACTGTTGCAAGCGCCATGATCACGGAGTAACTGAAGTAATTGCGGGTATATGTCAGGCATATCGGCATATCGGTCTACCCTCTGACGTCGTCTTTTACTGATATCTCTACCACTAGTCACATTCTCACTATTCACTCGCACTTGTTCCCGACACACAATACTCACAGTATCAGATCGCGGAACGTCACTTTTTTCGATTTTTACACATACGAATCACTGGATTCCAGACATTTGACAATTTAAACCCATCCTCACGATTGAAATTCTTGTGTTTGGTTATTTCAATCGCTATCCTGACCAATCTTGGTATGTAGTGGCGTTCTGTCGGGATAATTTGTGGATTATGGAGCTCAATCCTTGGAGCTGGAGTGAAATAGTTCGGAAGACTCACAACAGTATCAGTACGTACCTGTCCCTGAAGTAGGCGGTGTTCTCCCTCAGTCGTTGTATCCTCTCGAGTCCAGCGGGACTGTCGATGGAGCGCAGCGCCCACAGCACCTGCGCGGCGACGGGCGGCGACAGTATCAGTACGCACCTGTCCCTGAAGTAGGCGGTGTTCTCCCTCAGTCGTTGTATCCTCTCGAGTCCAGCGGGACTGTCGATGGAGCGCAGCGCCCACAGCACCTGCGCGGCGACGGGCGGCGACAGTATCAGTACGCACCTGTCCCTGAAGTAGGCGGTGTTCTCCCTCAGTCGTTGTATCCTCTCGAGTCCAGCGGGACTGTCGATGGAGCGCAGCGCCCACAGCACCTGCGCGGCGACGGGCGGCGACAGTATCAGTACGCACCTGTCCCTGAAGTAGGCGGTGTTCTCCCTCAGTCGTTGTATCCTCTCGAGTCCAGCGGGACTGTCGATGGAGCGCAGCGCCCACAGCACCTGCGCGGCGACGGGCGGCGACAGTATCAGTACGCACCTGTCCCTGAAGTAGGCGGTGTTCTCCCTCAGTCGTTGTATCCTCTCGAGTCCAGCGGGACTGTCGATGGAGCGCAGCGCCCACAGCACCTGCGCGGCGACGGGCGGCGACATGCTGGTCGCGTACGAGTGCCCGTGCCCGCGGGCGCGCAATGCCCGGATCAATGCTGCGCTGCCTGACAGACATACATAATCATAGTTATAATTTTTATTATTTTAAAGCATGTAAATGCTTGATGTTTAAATCTAAAGAAAATATAACTAGTATAAATTCCACGCGGATCAGGCGGCAGCCGGGACTCGAACCTGCACCTTTCGCAATCCGGGCGAATGCACTTACCAATTATGCTACCCTCACGGACCGCGTCGAAATTCTTCTAGCCATTCTTAAGCTGCAAGACAGCGCCATCACTTCGCATTATAGGTAACCCACAATGTCCAATTTTTTCTAGTTATATTTTCTTTAGATTTAAACATCAAGCAGTTACATGCTTTAAAATAATAAAAATTATAACTATAATTGCTATTTCTTCTTTCAAATGTTTATTACTTGTAAAAGTATTCATTTGACATTGTGGGTTACCTATAATGCGAAGAGATGGCGCTGCCTTGCAGCTTAAGAGTGGCTAGAAGAATTTCGACGCGGTCCGTGAGGGCCACGGTAACATAATTAGTCAGTGCATTCGCCCGGATTGCGAAAGGTGCAGGTTCGAGTCCCGGCTGCCGCCTGATCCGCGTGGAATTTATACTAGTTATATTTTCTTTAGATTTAAACATCAAGCAGTTACATGCTTTAAAATAATAAAAATTATAACTATAATTGCTATTTCTTCTTTCAAATGTTTATTACTTGTAAAAGTATTCATTTGACATTGTGGGTTACCTATAATGCGAAGAGATGGCGCTGCCTTGCAGCTTAAGAGTGGCTAGAAGAATTTCGACGCGGTCCGTGAGGGCCACGGTAACATAATTAGTCAGTGCATTCGCCCGGATTGCGAAAGGTGCAGGTTCGAGTCCCGGCTGCTGCCTGGTACGCGTGGAATTTTTTCTAGTTATATTTTCTATACATAATCATAATCAAAATCTGAAATGTAGAACTTGCAGGTATTTATATGATAATTTTGTTTTAAACTTGCATTGTCACTGGACATTATAGCTATTGAAGAACACATAAAACCTGTCAACAATTCGAAAATAAAAGGGACTCATTTGACATTGTAGGTTACCTACAATGCGAACAAATGGCGCTGCCTTCACGCTGGCGATGGCACTGCTGTCAAATGAATACCTTTACAAGTATAAAACATTCGAAAGAAGAAATAGCAATTTTAGTTATATCTGTTGCCTGGTTAGCGTAAATTTTTTCTAGTAAAAAATTTGAATTTACCATATTACCAACCGTTAAATGCTTTAAAAAAATATATATAGGGGAAACCACCCAATCATTGGCACTCGTCCTATTATTGGCACTTTTGAGTTTAATTCGAAAAAACAAGGAGTTAATAGATTATTCAAGGTCGTTGCATATTAAAAAGAAAAGCCTAGTATAGTTTCGAAATTTTCAAAAATGGAAGCATTATTTCTACAATCTATTGTTTCCTGGTTTTTTCGAAATAAACTCAAAAGTGCCATTAATAGGAAGAGTGACAATGATTGGTTAGTTTCCCCTAATATTTTTTTCATTTTCAGATCTTTCGATGTAGGTTCTATTTTTTATTAAGAACAATTTTATTTTTCTATTATTAGTGTAATACGGAATGAAGAGTGAGTGAAGAACGGACCAATGGCAGAGCAGTTAGATATACATACCGGCGACATATCCTCCAGCGGCCCCAAAACTCTTGGTAAAGGTCCCCATCAATACATCCACATCCTGGGGGCGCACCCCGCAATGATCCGTGGCCCCCCTGCCCCTCGGCCCGATGGCCCCCACGGAGTGCGCCTCGTCCAGGTACAGTTGGAGCCCGAGACGCTTCTTCAGCTCCACCAACCCTCGCAGGGGAGCTATGGACCCCTCCATGCTGTAAACGCCCTCCACTACCTGGTCAACATACAAATCATTGTTATAGCTAATGATCGCCTTATAAAAAGAATACAACGCGATTCAACTCAGAATAGGACCGACTAGGCGCCATATTTTGACGTCACAGCTGTCAATTCAAACCAGTTAGGTACAGTGAGAAAAAAAGTTTGTCTTTAATAAAACTTATTTACCAAGATTGAATAATATGTATTTATTTATTAAGACTGAGTAAGAAAAACAAAACTAAAGTTCTTATATTGTTTCCCTTATCCAGTACTCATTATCTATAGCCAGTGATTCCCAAAGTGGTCTATATCGACCCCTAGGGGTCTATGACAACCTGCAAGGGGTCTACGTCAGCGACAAAAATCAATATCAGGTAAGTAGGGGGTCTACCCAACACGGAAAAACATGGCAAGGGGTCTACGACACAAAAAAGTTTGGGGAACTCTGACTATACGTTTCATACGATTAATTTCTTTCTATTGTTTACAAATGAGATCAATGGCTTTCTTATTCTTCTTTGAATCGCATAGTAAATATTTTTTAACAGTCACACAAATTAACCTAACCCCCAAAGTAAGCACTGTAAGGTTTCAGTTGCTGCATTCTGAGGAGCTCGATGGCGCGGGAGGTTAGCGCGTTCGGCTGCGATCATTGAAGTTAAGCAACTTTCGCAGTGGTCATTGGATGGGTGACCAAAAATCTTCTATCTCGAGTTCCTCCTATTAATATTAAAATATTAATTCATTACGAATTTAATAAACTATATTTATTTATTTAACTCAGTTTATGTATTCTATTATAACTATATATATTTTAATACCATTTTGTAATTTTAGCTTTTATACTCTAGCAATCTCGTACAGGCCCTGCCAGAATACCAGCGCTGTTACGGTGGGAATATTCCCGTCCCATTGTAACAGCATTAAGCTGAGGTAGGGTCCTAATTGGCCTTTCTTCTTTCTGCATATTGTTGTTGTCTGTTTGTTTTTATTTTTATCGGTGCTTATATAATTTCTTATTGTTATATACTTGTGTGTTAAGGCCAATAAATGATAAATGATTTTTCTTTCTTTCTTTCTTTCTCCGCGCTTCGGAAGGCACGTTAAGCCGTTGGTCCCGGCTGCATCTGCAGTCGTTAGCACCCGCCAATCCGCACTAGGCCCGCGTGGTGGGTCATCGCCCAATCTCCCTATTCCATTCATAGGGAAGGCTTGTGCCCCAGCAGTGTGGACATTAATAGGCTGATGATAAATTTAAGGTAATGATTAGACATAATAATGATACATACATAAATATGTACCACAGTTATATTTTTTATTATTTTAAAGCATGTAACTGCTTAATGTTTATATCTAAAGAAAATATAATTAGAAAAAATTCCGCGCGGACCAGGCAGCAGACGGGACTCGTACCCGCACCCTTCGCAATCCGGGCGAATGCACTGACCAATTATGCTACCGCGGCCCTCACGGACCGCATCGAAATTCTTCTAGCCATTCTTAAGCTGCAAGCCAGCGCCATCTCTTCGCATTTAGGTAGCCCACAATGTCAAATGAATATTTTTACAAGTATTAAACATTTGAAAGAAGAAATAGCAATTATAGTTATAATTTTTATTATTTTAAAACATGGAACTGCTTGATGTTTAAATCTATGGGTTCGAGGCCCTTTTGCTGCCTGGCCCGCGTAGAATTTTTTCTAATTATATTTTCTTGAAATATGTATCATATTTAAAATATAGCGATAAAGTAAAGAGAGATAGTCAACTCACTTAAGAGCCTATGCACACCACGTTATTTCGCGTTTTTATCCAAAGGAGCGGTTTGTTGTCGTTTGTATCGATACTCACGCGAGTCAGCATCGCGTCTGTATCGCAATACTCGCCTCGTCTGCAGGAAACGCTTTGACGGCGCGTTTAAAAAAAGTGGTATGCATACACTCTTAGTGTAATAGGTGAGTACTGGGCTCGAATCCCGGTGAGATAAATGTGGCAATTTTACAATACAGTACTTCATTGCTTTTATGTTAAATGATGCTTGGTGTGTAAAACAGTGTACGTGTGTCGTGTAGTATAATGTACGTGTAATAAGTAGTAGTATACATACGTATGGCGTGTAGTGTATTTGTGGCGTGTAATGTAGTGTACTTGTGGTTGTAAATGTACCTCCGATACACTCACGATGACGTAGCGGCGGTGCGTCCTCGCGGCGCGGGCGGCGCGCGCTAGGGTCGCGAGGTGCGCGAGGTCGTTGTGTAGTGTAGTGTAGTGTGTGGTGTAGTACGGGCCACACTCACGATGACGTAGCGGCGGTGCGTCCTCGCGGCGCGGGCGGCGCGCGCTAGTGTCGCGAGGTGCGCGAGGTCGTTGTGTAGTGTAGTGTAGTGTAGTGTGTGGTGTAGTACGGGCCACACTCACGATGACGTAGCGGCGGTGCGTCCTCGCGGCGCGGGCGGCGCGCGCTAGTGTCGCGAGGTGCGCGAGGTCGTTGTGTAGTGTAGTGTAGTGTAGTGTGTGGTGTAGTACGGGCCACACTCACGATGACGTAGCGGCGGTGCGTCCTCGCGGCGCGGGCGGCGCGCGCTAGTGTCGCGAGGTGCGCGAGGTCGTTGTGTAGTGTAGTGTAGTGTAGTGTGTGGTGTAGTACGGGCCACACTCACGATGACGTAGCGGCGGTGCGTCCTCGCGGCGCGGGCGGCGCGCGCTAGTGTCGCGAGGTGCGCGAGGTCGTTGTGTAGTGTAGTGTAGTGTAGTGTGTGGTGTAGTACGGGCCACACTCACGATGACGTAGCGGCGGTGCGTCCTCGCGGCGCGGGCGGCGCGCGCTAGTGTCGCGAGGTGCGCGAGGTCGTTGTGTAGTGTAGTGTAGTGTAGTGTGTGGTGTAGTACGGGCCACACTCACGATGACGTAGCGGCGGTGCGTCCTCGCGGCGCGGGCGGCGCGCGCTAGTGTCGCGAGGTGCGCGAGGTCGTTGTGTAGTGTAGTGTAGTGTAGTGTGTGGTGTAGTACGGGCCACACTCACGATGACGTAGCGGCGGTGCGTCCTCGCGGCGCGGGCGGCGCGCGCTAGTGTCGCGAGGTGCGCGAGGTCGTTGTGTAGTGTAGTGTAGTGTAGTGTGTGGTGTAGTACGGGCCACACTCACGATGACGTAGCGGCGGTGCGTCCTCGCGGCGCGGGCGGCGCGCGCTAGTGTCGCGAGGTGCGCGAGGTCGTTGTGTAGTGTAGTGTAGTGTAGTGTGTGGTGTAGTACGGGCCACACTCACGATGACGTAGCGGCGGTGCGTCCTCGCGGCGCGGGCGGCGCGCGCTAGTGTCGCGAGGTGCGCGAGGTCGTTGTGTAGTGTAGTGTAGTGTAGTGTGTGGTGTAGTACGGGCCACACTCACGATGACGTAGCGGCGGTGCGTCCTCGCGGCGCGGGCGGCGCGCGCTAGTGTCGCGAGGTGCGCGAGGTCGTTGTGTAGTGTAGTGTAGTGTAGTGTGTGGTGTAGTACGGGCCACACTCACGATGACGTAGCGGCGGTGCGTCCTCGCGGCGCGGGCGGCGCGCGCTAGTGTCGCGAGGTGCGCGAGGTCGTTGTGTAGTGTAGTGTAGTGTAGTGTGTGGTGTAGTACGGGCCACACTCACGATGACGTAGCGGCGGTGCGTCCTCGCGGCGCGGGCGGCGCGCGCTAGTGTCGCGAGGTGCGCGAGGTCGTTGTGTAGTGTAGTGTAGTGTAGTGTGTGGTGTAGTACGGGCCACACTCACGATGACGTAGCGGCGGTGCGTCCTCGCGGCGCGGGCGGCGCGCGCTAGTGTCGCGAGGTGCGCGAGGTCGTTGTGTAGTGTAGTGTAGTGTAGTGTGTGGTGTAGTACGGGCCACACTCACGATGACGTAGCGGCGGTGCGTCCTCGCGGCGCGGGCGGCGCGCGCTAGTGTCGCGAGGTGCGCGAGGTCGTTGTGTAGTGTAGTGTAGTGTAGTGTGTGGTGTAGTACGGGCCACACTCACGATGACGTAGCGGCGGTGCGTCCTCGCGGCGCGGGCGGCGCGCGCTAGTGTCGCGAGGTGCGCGAGGTCGTTGTGTAGTGTAGTGTAGTGTAGTGTGTGGTGTAGTACGGGCCACACTCACGATGACGTAGCGGCGGTGCGTCCTCGCGGCGCGGGCGGCGCGCGCTAGTGTCGCGAGGTGCGCGAGGTCGTTGTGTAGTGTAGTGTAGTGTAGTGTGTGGTGTAGTACGGGCCACACTCACGATGACGTAGCGGCGGTGCGTCCTCGCGGCGCGGGCGGCGCGCGCTAGTGTCGCGAGGTGCGCGAGGTCGTTGTGTAGTGTAGTGTAGTGTAGTGTGTGGTGTAGTACGGGCCACACTCACGATGACGTAGCGGCGGTGCGTCCTCGCGGCGCGGGCGGCGCGCGCTAGTGTCGCGAGGTGCGCGAGGTCGTTGTGTAGTGTAGTGTAGTGTAGTGTGTGGTGTAGTACGGGCCACACTCACGATGACGTAGCGGCGGTGCGTCCTCGCGGCGCGGGCGGCGCGCGCTAGTGTCGCGAGGTGCGCGAGGTCGTTGTGTAGTGTAGTGTAGTGTAGTGTGTGGTGTAGTACGGGCCACACTCACGATGACGTAGCGGCGGTGCGTCCTCGCGGCGCGGGCGGCGCGCGCTAGTGTCGCGAGGTGCGCGAGGTCGTTGTGTAGTGTAGTGTAGTGTAGTGTGTGGTGTAGTACGGGCCACACTCACGATGACGTAGCGGCGGTGCGTCCTCGCGGCGCGGGCGGCGCGCGCTAGTGTCGCGAGGTGCGCGAGGTCGTTGTGTAGTGTAGTGTAGTGTAGTGTGTGGTGTAGTACGGGCCACACTCACGATGACGTAGCGGCGGTGCGTCCTCGCGGCGCGGGCGGCGCGCGCTAGTGTCGCGAGGTGCGCGAGGTCGTTGTGTAGTGTAGTGTAGTGTAGTGTGTGGTGTAGTACGGGCCACACTCACGATGACGTAGCGGCGGTGCGTCCTCGCGGCGCGGGCGGCGCGCGCTAGTGTCGCGAGGTGCGCGAGGTCGTTGTGTAGTGTAGTGTAGTGTAGTGTGTGGTGTAGTACGGGCCACACTCACGATGACGTAGCGGCGGTGCGTCCTCGCGGCGCGGGCGGCGCGCGCTAGTGTCGCGAGGTGCGCGAGGTCGTTGTGTAGTGTAGTGTAGTGTAGTGTGTGGTGTAGTACGGGCCACACTCACGATGACGTAGCGGCGGTGCGTCCTCGCGGCGCGGGCGGCGCGCGCTAGTGTCGCGAGGTGCGCGAGGTCGTTGTGTAGTGTAGTGTAGTGTAGTGTGTGGTGTAGTACGGGCCACACTCACGATGACGTAGCGGCGGTGCGTCCTCGCGGCGCGGGCGGCGCGCGCTAGTGTCGCGAGGTGCGCGAGGTCGTTGTGTAGTGTAGTGTAGTGTAGTGTGTGGTGTAGTACGGGCCACACTCACGATGACGTAGCGGCGGTGCGTCCTCGCGGCGCGGGCGGCGCGCGCTAGTGTCGCGAGGTGCGCGAGGTCGTTGTGTAGTGTAGTGTAGTGTAGTGTGTGGTGTAGTACGGGCCACACTCACGATGACGTAGCGGCGGTGCGTCCTCGCGGCGCGGGCGGCGCGCGCTAGTGTCGCGAGGTGCGCGAGGTCGTTGTGCCGGAACACTTGGACGGTAGCGCCGGCGAGACGCAGCCCCAGTATGAGGGAGGCGTGGTTGTTCTCATCGCTGAAGGCCAGAGTGTCGGGCCCCAGCAGGCCCGGCAGTGATAGGGTGTTCGTCGCGAACCCCATGCCGAACACTATCGCCGACTAGATGCAAGGAAATTCTACTCTTTATTATACAAGGTGTGACAAAAGTCCGAAATAAAACCTACGAAAGTTTGACGCCTTTCAGACCACTTTTAATTTCTAATTAAATTAATAAAAATATCGTTTTGCACCTGCTTAAGACAACCCTATAAATGCGTACGATTACTACTACCTAAACAGACCCCCTCTCTCCCCCAAGCGCCCCTGCGCCCCGCTCAGATACCTACAACTTTTTATTTCCGAATACATACCTATAAATTTTATTTCGGAATTCTGTAACACTCTGTATACAAGTGTCGATAGCGTGATACCGGCACTGCACTGGGCTATTTGCGTTTGATATTTGTAAACTTAACATCGGTCTATCCTTATCATTCCTCATAAAACACGAGAAGGAGAGACTTGTCAAGTTTACAAATAGCAAATACGAATAGCCAAGTGAAGTGATGTTACGATAGGTTAAACGGACACGTCTATTTGTAATTTCATAGTCTTAGCAGTACGGAGGGTTGTTTCCGCAACTCCACATATGCACATTATGCGTGAAGAATGGAGTCAGTAAAATTAATTCTGGATTAATTTTATGAATAAAAAAAAATGATTTAAATACTATTGAAAAAATTAATGCATTGAATGAATATGCTAACTGAATTAAATTACTATTAAAATTAAATGTCTATGCAAAAGGAAATCGTTCACTAAACTACTGACAAATAACAATACAGTATATTCACTTCAGCAACATTTAATTAAAATAATAAATACAACACACTCTGACAACTCTTCCGGTCGCAAAATGTCTATTAAGTATAATGAATGTTCATGGTTGTTCAGGCCAGCTCCGCGCCTGAGTAAATTTTTGAAAATAACGAACGCAGCTAAAGCGCGCGCCAGGACCAATTGTCATTTATATTACGCCTTTTTTACTACTCACATTTTCCTAACCTGAGAAAGCTGTGTCCGGCCCCACTCACCTCCACGCCCACTCACCTGGCGACGCTGTCCTCCAGCTCGCGGTGCAGCGGCGTGGTCCCCAGCTCGGCCCGGCTGGAGCCCGCCCCGGAGCACCGGCCCCACTCACCTGGCGACGCTGTCCTCCAGCTCGCGGTGCAGCGGCGTGGTCCCCAGCTCGGCCCGGCTGGAGCCCGCCCCGGAGCACCGGCCCCACTCACCTGGCGACGCTGTCCTCCAGCTCCCGGTGCAGCGGCGTGGTCCCCAGCTCGGCCCGGCTGGAGCCCGCCCCGGAGCACCGGCCCCACTCACCTGGCGACGCTGTCCTCCAGCTCGCGGTGCAGCGGCGTGGTCCCCAGCTCGGCCCGGCTGGAGCCCGCCCCGGAGCACCGGCCCCACTCACCTGGCGACGCTGTCCTCCAGCTCCCGGTGCAGCGGCGTGGTCCCCAGCTCGGCCCGGCTGGAGCCCGCCCCGGAGCACCGGCCCCACTCACCTGGCGACGCTGTCCTCCAGCTCCCGGTGCAGCGGCGTGGTCCCCAGCTCGGCCCGGCTGGAGCCCGCCCCGGAGCACCGGCCCCACTCACCTGGCGACGCTGTCCTCCAGCTCGCGGTGCAGCGGCGTGGTCCCCAGCTCGGCCCGGCTGGAGCCCGCCCCGGAGCACCGGCCCCACTCACCTGGCGACGCTGTCCTCCAGCTCGCGGTGCAGCGGCGTGGTCCCCAGCTCGGCCCGGCTGGAGCCCGCCCCGGAGCACCGGCCCCACTCACCTGGCGACGCTGTCCTCCAGCTCGCGGTGCAGCGGCGTGGTCCCCAGCTCGGCCCGGCTGGAGCCCGCCCCGGAGCACCGGCCCCACTCACCTGGCGACGCTGTCCTCCAGCTCGCGGTGCAGCGGCGTGGTCCCCAGCTCGGCCCGGCTGGAGCCCGCCCCGGAGCACCGGCCCCACTCACCTGGCGACGCTGTCCTCCAGCTCCCGGTGCAGCGGCGTGGTCCCCAGCTCGGCCCGGCTGGAGCCCGCCCCGGAGCACCGGCCCCACTCACCTGGCGACGCTGTCCTCCAGCTCCCGGTGCAGCGGCGTGGTCCCCAGCTCGGCCCGGCTGGAGCCCGCCCCGGAGCACCGGCCCCACTCACCTGGCGACGCTGTCCTCCAGCTCGCGGTGCAGCGGCGTGGTCCCCAGCTCGGCCCGGCTGGAGCCCGCCCCGGAGCACCGGCCCCACTCACCTGGCGACGCTGTCCTCCAGCTCGCGGTGCAGCGGCGTGGTCCCCAGCTCGGCCCGGCTGGAGCCCGCCCCGGAGCACCGGCCCCACTCACCTGGCGACGCTGTCCTCCAGCTCCCGGTGCAGCGGCGTGGTCCCCAGCTCGGCCCGGCTGGAGCCCGCCCCGGAGCACCGGCCCCACTCACCTGGCGACGCTGTCCTCCAGCTCCCGGTGCAGCGGCGTGGTCCCCAGCTCGGCCCGGCTGGAGCCCGCCCCGGAGCACCGGCCCCACTCACCTGGCGACGCTGTCCTCCAGCTCCCGGTGCAGCGGCGTGGTCCCCAGCTCGGCCCGGCTGGAGCCCGCCCCGGAGCACCGGCCCCACTCACCTGGCGACGCTGTCCTCCAGCTCCCGGTGCAGCGGCGTGGTCCCCAGCTCGGCCCGGCTGGAGCCCGCCCCGGAGCACCGGCCCCACTCACCTGGCGACGCTGTCCTCCAGCTCCCGGTGCAGCGGCGTGGTCCCCAGCTCGGCCCGGCTGGAGCCCGCCCCGGAGCACCGGCCCCACTCACCTCCACGCCCAGGAACCTGGCGACGCTGTCCTCCAGCTCCCGGTGCAGCGGCGTGGTCCCCAGCTCGGCCCGGCTGGAGCCCGCCCCGGAGCACCGGCCCCACTCACCTCCACGCCCACTCACCTGGCGACGCTGTCCTCCAGCTCCCGGTGCAGCGGCGTGGTCCCCAGCTCGGCCCGGCTGGAGCCCGCCCCGGAGCACCGGCCCCACTCACCTCCACGCCCAGGAACCTGGCGACGCTGTCCTCCAGCTCGCGGTGCAGCGGCGTGGTCCCCAGCTCGGCCCGGCTGGAGCCCGCGGTGAGCCCGTATCGCCGCACGGCCGCGGCCACCTCCCGCGGGCTGGTGGCCCCCAGCCCCAGGTAGTTGTACGAACTCAAGTTCACGCACTCCACCTTGCGCCCTGTGTACCTGCACATTCATACCCACACTTGGTATCGCAGTACATTCGAGTATCATGACTCATGTCCTACAAATGAGGGTCTTTATGAAAATCTACGTCGACAGTTGGCGGCAGATGTCTTTTGTATGAAGTTCTTGGCACAAATTAATCTAACCAGCATTTAAATTGGTCCAGACTATGAAGACATTTATAATAATATGATATGACGGATGAGCAGGCATTTTGTCTCAGAACTGCCACTAAGCGCTCGTCATTAAAAAAAATGGGTGCGTGTACTTATGTAGGCGCGTGAGAAGTTATCCTTCTTTGGCATCGTTTAAAATTAGTTTTTAATTGCATGCAAATAATTAATTACAATAAATTAATAAAAAGTCTGGAAAAGGACACAGTCAATAAAGTTCAGTTTTAATTTGAAAAAATAAATAAAATAATAATCAAAATATTCAATTAAAATCGCTACTGAATATAATTTATTAGAACATAATTATGTGATTTGCACTTGTATGAAATTCAAACACGTATTCCGAATATACAAACTAGAAACATGTGGATAAATATTATAAATATATTATATACCTATAACTGTTACTTTATTACAAAAAATAAAGATGTGGTTTTTGGTTCTGCTACACCAATGGTCAAGAGATGGCGCTGTAGTCTCCTGAATCGCGCTTTGGTTCCGTTGTTCCAGATTAATAAATACTTTTGATAGGCCTTCACAATGCAGTCGTTAGCACCCACTAAATAGAGATTCTATTTCTATTTTGTTGGTAGATTTTCTTAATGTGCGGTAAACACAAAAGTCAACTTCATGCTGTTAAAATTTTGTGTTACAGTGATGCGCGCGCATCTTAAAATTTCACTCTCATCATTTTTTCATAACGCGCCTAAAGAAGTATAACTTCAAAAAAAAAATTGGTGACATATTTTTGCGTTAAAAGCTCTGCTCATCCTTTCGGCATGTGTTTTTTTTATATTTTTGCATATCACAAACTTGCACTATATTTTTCTGTCTATATCTGTGTTGAGTGAATAGCAACTTAAAATTTATGATAGTTAGCAAAGAGCGCAACTATGCGCGGGTTTAGTCGGAGAAACCACGTGCGCTTCAGGATTTCGATTACTGGGCTTTAATAATTCAGGTATTGCAAAAATCAATAAAAGTTGTAAGTACTAGTTGTTTACAAAGTATTTACTTGAGCGTCCAGTTGTAGTCGTCGGAGTATCGCTCCATGAGCGTGATCTGCGCGGCGGGCGCGGAGCAGATGGGCTGGTTGAAGCAGTGCTTCACGCGCCGGTACACGTAGCGCGAGAAGAACTGCTCGAACGGGTTGTACAGCGGCGCGTACCCCTGACATTAACATAATCATTCATTCGATGAGGGCTATCGTTCTTTGTCTCACCAGATGGCGCCACTGTTGAGTGAGATCCTGAAGTGTAACTTTTAAAGTTAGTAAACACGCTCGTGATATCAAAGTTTACATTTTAATACAAAAGAATCGTATCTTAAACATAATCGCCCATGCCACAGTGTTGCGCAGTCCCGTTTTGTTCGGAAAAAAGAAGGATAGAATATTTTTTCTTAACTGCGCTTTAAATAACTGACAATCATTGACACGTAACTCATATTTGCCATAATAAGTCTGATTTTTTACCAAATATTCACAACTATTATTTTAATTAGAAAAAAACCGCGTGACCGCAAGCTATAACATTTGACATTTCGGAGACCTCACGCTACACAAGCGCCTCTAGCGGCGGATAAATACGCGATAGCCCTCATTAAATACTATCCTACCAAAAACATTTTGTAAAAAACTAGTCAAGCAACGATGGAGCTGCTTGTTTATCTCTAAAAAGTAATGAAATCTAGACAAAGTCGTGCCCAGTCTAAGGTTCCTTACTGCGATTTCTTTATTATTATAGTTAATGTTGTGTGACTTGGCCGTTTAAGGGTACGCAAGGGTACAAAACCAGGTGTTACATGACACATAGGCGTATGTGATTATAGCTTTCTGGATGACGAAATTTCCTGCGTTCTGGTCTTATCGAGAGGTTCTCAAATAGGGGCCTGAAAATGCGGCGAAATGGTTTCAGTAAAGGATGGTACAGCAGTGTTTGCTTCGCGCTGGACTTGGCGGTTTGAACTTTATATAATAATAATAATAATTTATTTAACTCAAGACTTGTAACTACAACAACGTTTTTACAATAGGCCAATTTGGAATTGACAACTAATATTTAAATGGGTGTTTTGTTGTAATTAGCAAGATTAAGACTAGGTTTTATGCGAGCCTCCGATATTCAGCACTGTTGCAGATGTCATGAGCTGTGATTACTACCATGTAACTTGTTAAAGCGAAACTCCTTTACACACGCTTGACTTGGGGGGTTAACTGGCGAATGCGTTACGCGTTACGAAAAGTGTGTTGGGGGAGGCGAACGTGAGTTGAGTGGGGGATATAAGCAAGAGAAAGCAGTGCGCGCGCACATTTTCTTTTTCTCTTTCTCTAATAACTAGTAAATGAAATATATATATATATATATATATGTACACACATGTATATATTGTACACACATATAGTATATATACAGATACAGATGGATAGTATAGTAACCATACAGATGGAGCTAAAGAAGTTTCACTTCAGTCGTATGTAGGGTTACCATCCGTCCTGATTTGTCCGGACATATCCGGACTTTGTCCGGCTTTTAAATAAGTCCTGATTTTTTTAATTAAATGGAATATGAGTAAAACTACTTATTAAGTTATATCAAATAGGTCAAATAATCTTTATTAAGTTCTCACTAATTTAAAACAAAATATAAATCATCTTTGAAAATTAACAACGAGACCCCCCCTCCCGATGCGAGCGTCTGCTACCACGCGTATAATATCACTGTAACTAAGTGAGTGATGTTTGCATTTTGTGACTAAAATGTCCGAAATGGGCGGCTTTTTGTCAGGACATTTCAAATTTTTAAATAGTAACCCTAGACGTATGGTCGTAAGCACTCGTCCTTTTTTTTCTTTTTAAGTCTCCGAAAACTGAAGTTACTCCGCAACAGTGCTGAAATATATGATAACACATACAATCATTCACTTCCGTACGTCGCCGCGTCGGGTGGTTGGTATCCAGCTCAAATGAAGAAGTACTGAAGGAAAAAAGGGAAATGTAATGGTGTATGAAGCCAGTCTTATGGAGACAAAATCTGCTATTCTGACAGTGAACGTAAGAAATTCCTTAAACATTGCTTCAGTACTAGATTGTAATTTGTAGTATAATTAGGGCGCTTTCAATTTATGCGTTTTTTGACAGCCTGCTGCGGTGCCGTAGCGGTGCGTTTGTCGCACAGCGTACGGACGATCCTTTTTGACGTGACAACGTCTTAAATTAGGTTGCGGCTGGGAGTCACTTATGAAAAAGTGTAACGCTCGGTAACGTTACGATGAGTCTCTCGTGTTAAGTTTAAGTTTACATGTACAATGTTTTAGTAAACAAAATATATTTCTATAGTTAAAATTTGTGCAATTCTTATTTTCATTCAATTCCTTGTTCCTATTGTGCAATTTAATTATATTCATATCAATAAATATTCTACCGAGAAAAAGACGTTGTCACGTAAAATCTTCGCCCGTAAAACCGACTTTACAGGCAACCATTTTTTTTTCACACAAAACGCGCGGTGCGGCAACAATCCTGTTGTCGAGCGTTCGCGGTACCGGCGGTACTGGTGACAATGTATTCCACAGTTTTGTAGTAAGTTTCACACATAAAACTACACCATTGTCTTTTGAATACAAATTTTACGATACTAGTATAAAAGGAGTTGAATCTGTCCAAGATCTTGGTGTCTGGCTTGATTCTAAGATGACTCTCATTACACGTGGTTAATATAGGTAAATGATCTTAACGAAGTCTGGGATTTGATATGCAAACCTGAAAGCCTTACATCTGTTACTAGTCTCAAAATGGTATATTTTGCATTATTTTGGAATACGCGTGCCTTATATAGTCGCTGATTTATGCAATACATAGAAACCGGGTAGAAAGTAAACAAAAGAATTTGTTCATCACCTTATTTTAAGTTCCCAAGTTAAAAAGGAACGTACAAAGCTAACCAAGGGCATGAACTCCTGACCACTTTAAGAGCGTCGTCTGGTTTTGGAAATGGGTTTCCTGAACGATATACTGCGAGGGCGCCAGGGGGCCATTCGCCTAACAGTGGGCCAATCGCCTAACCAGATTGCTTTGGAAAACGCTATCGCTTACGATTTCATTTTGTTATTTCTAACCGCCGAAGGTTTTCAAATACCTCACGCTCATTTTCTTTAACATTGTTATTACCAATGCAAAAGAAAAAAAAAGAGCGCGAGGCATTTGAAAACCTCAGGCGGCTAGAAATAACAAAATGAAATCGTAAGCGATAGCGTTATCCCAAGCAATCCAGTTAGGCGATTGGCCCCCAGAAATGCTTTGGAAAACGCTAACGCTTACGATTTCATTTTTTTATTTCTAGCCGCCTGAGGTTTTCAAATGCCTCGCGCTCTTTTTTTTCGTTTGCATTGGTAATACTTCTATTAATAAAAATGAGCGTGAGATATTGGAAAACCTTTGGCGGTCAGAAATAACAAAATAAAATCGAAAGCGTTAGCGTTTTCCATAGCATTTCCGTTAGGCGAATGGCCCCCTGGGCTGTCCTAAACTATTGGAGTTATTGACATTCCGGGTACTGACGCGTCGAACTCGCCACACACCCCTGTTTGTAGTCCCACCTCATCGGACGTATAACGGAAAGAATGCAGTGATGTCACGTATTATAGAAAATTACAATGCACAATTTGATGGAACAGATCTTTTCATAGGTGGAAAGAATAATTTTATGAAACATGTAAAGTCTATGTTGGCATAATTTTCCAAAAGTATAACTTTATCTATATATATATATATTTATATATATATATGTACATTTTTTTATCTTTTTTTTAACACACTCCCTTTTTATGTATATATTTCTTAAATATTATTATGTATTATTTTCATAAAACTTATATTGGAGTAAGCATTATTATCCAATATTGAACAACATTTTTGGTCGGAACCAATTATGCTTTATAAACCTGTATAATTATATAGGTATT